AACCTCAAAGGAAAAAGGTGTTTATATGGTAAAATAATATAAAAGGGTTTAAAGCTGCTGTGTGCCTGCTTTGTTTATTGGTACTGCAAATACAGAATAGCAAGACAGTAAAAATAGTAATAAAAACAAATTACACAATAAGAAATTCTTGCTGTTATAGATGGTCATAAAGAACTGTTTGCACATTCAAAAACATTCAAGTAGAAAATTGTAGGGATAGATAGATAGATAGATAGATAGATAGATAGATAGATAGATAGATAGATAGATAGATAGATAGATAGATAGATAGATAGATAGATAGATAGATAGATAGATAGATAGATAGATAGATAGATAGATAGATAGATAGATAGATAGATAGATAGATAGATAGATAGATAGATAGATAGATAGATAGATAGATAGATAGATAGATAGATAGATAGATAGATAGATAGATAGATAGATAGATAGACAGAGAGAGGGAGAGACAGAGAGAGGTGGGTAGGTAGGTTGTAGCACACAGATTTTTTTTTGTTGTCTATTTATCCCAATGTGCTCAAAATGTGTTGAAGGAGCACATCAGCAAAATTTACACAGACATGGTACATGTAGTTGGTTTTAATGTTTCACGAAGTGTGCCTCATTTCTAAGTATTTAGGTCCCCATAAAACTCATTTTTAGATACAGCAACAAACATGGCAAGATGAGAAATTATGTGGCATCAACTGCAGTCTGACAGCTACTAATTAGTTACTTCTGCTTATTACACTGTTAAACAGATAATGGACAGTGAACAATAAATCTGTTAGCCAGATAAGGAGTAAGGATGCAGAGATTTTGAACCAATTAAATAGTCATCAACAAATAAAAAAACAAAACAAAAAAAAACCCAGCAGGACTGATTTGTTAATTGGCTCTTAGTTTGTTCACAGACTTAATTAGGATGATAATCATGGTGTTTGTGGACCTGCTAAACATCTTATGGTGGTGCATTGAGCTTGTTGACATTTAGATCTGCGTCTCTTCAATCTCACTCTGTTGCAAGGAGTTGAACTCTGGCTTTTTCACATAGTTTTTTTTTTTTTTTTGTGAATTAATAATGCGTAATTCCAAGTTCACACAACGGAGAAACTCTATACTGTTTAGTGAGAGGAACCTTTCAAAAATTAATTCGTGAAGTTAATTTTTTACCAGTTGTTCAATGGTCAGTACTTTATGGTTTGTAACAGTCAGACATAGTATATAGACAGTTAGATTCAGTCAACAGATGCTAACTATTCAACAGAAGAGTTCAAAAAGCACAGTCCCACCACTGGCTTTCCCAATATATGTGAATCAGTCAAATAAATCCTAAATATATGGATGTGTGGGATTTATATTTGTTCCTCTTCTCCACAAAGTATCACTGAAACTGACTCCTGGACATGGTTTCTCAGTTTAGTATTTATTGAGAGGTTTACGTAAGTATGTGAAAATACTTGTTGATGAACCCTCAGTTGGAACAGATTGTAAATTTCTATTCTATTCTATTCTGTTCTATTCTATTGAATTCTGCCTGTGTGTTTGTCCTTTCTAACAAACACACAGGCAGAAACTGGTGCATTTAGTGTGAGTTTCCTCTCCACAGAAGGTTCTGCAAAACATGTCCACATATGTTAAAGCTCTATTTAGCTTTTTTGCAATAATCTCATAAATATTCATGAAAGAATGTGCCCTGCAGATGAGCGTGGGCTGTAATGGCTTTTTCTGTCAGAAACTCATTACATTGACATTTTACTAATTATACAAATGCATCAACTTGACCGCAAAACATATAAAAAAATTAGTTTTGGATCAGGATTTAAAATTCTTAGAAGAATAAGCATGCTTCCTAAGTAAAGAATATAAAATTTTTTATTAAAAGTTAACTTTTTATGCACTTTATATTTTATAATATTTGCTTTCAGTGGTAAATACCAGATTAGTGATCTTTATATATTTCTTTGAAAGTTGGATTTTTCTAATCAGGGAAACTTTAATCTTTGTAACCCCCCCTGTTTTTTTTTGTATCTTCTTTAAAGGGGATAACACATTTAACCAGCACATGATCTTATGAATTAATAATTCACAGAGGAGCGTAAAGTAGTACATATATCTTTGCTCAGAGAGAAGGCTTCTGCACAGTCAGATGTAACCCTGCCCCATTTAGAAACGGTGGATTACAGCCTTTGAATTCAGGGTGATAATGACCCCAGAGGAGAAAAAGGCTGCAGAAGTATATGTGCTATTTCTGATATTGAAGCATGCAACCGTCTCTTCCAATATGTGGTTCTGAAGTGGTATGATTTATCAGCCGCCTGCCCTTTTGCACAGGCCCTGCTATTTAAGAGCTTCAAACTCTGGGGAACTCGGTCTAAAATAAGCAAAACTAGGTTGGAGGAGGAACGGAACTGAAGACTTGAAATTTGGACCAGATACTGTGACTGCAGTTTGAAGTCACTTTGAAGGCTCTGGTTGGCTGAGTGCATCTCGAACATCTCCATACCAAACTCTTAACACTATGCATTATGTAGCAGCAAGAGTATCTGTGTAAAGTCAGAGCCTGTATCCAGTCACTGGATTGTGAAATACAATCCATTGTCTGCACATGCAAACATACAATCACACACACCCAGACAGAGCTGTGAGCACACATGCCGATGCCCTAGATGTGGAGAAGTGTCAATGTCAAACTTTCGCACAGACTGGAACTAGCTGCTCTTGGCTCGGTGACCGTGGCAGATCAGCTAACCCATGAGCAATTCATCATTACGAAATAGGACACAGTCTGCACATTTCTCTGTATTAAAGGTTCTGCTTGTTTTTAACGTCTCATATTCCTGTGCCAGTTCTTTGACCCAGGTGAGGTGCTTTATGCCTATGACAGCCCTGCAGGCTACGGCCTGATGGGCCTGCAGCTGGTCGCTTACGTGTGGTTCTGCTACGCCGTGCTGGTCTCGCTGAAACACTATCCTGAAAAACAGCCCTTCTACGTCCCTTTCTTCACCACATACACTCTGTGGTAAGACACCATCTCCAGTTGTCACTGACTGTTACACCATGTGAGCTGATGAGGCATGTACTTTTTTTCTATGATCTTTAAATTTGAATTATTTATGTAGTTCAGTCAAAACAAAAATTAAAGCAGATAGCGGGTGCTTGAGGTGGGGAAGTCCCAACTTTGTGCTCGTCTTATGTTGCAGATAATTATTCCCAGATGAGAGATAGCTGGAGGACATCTATATTAATGAGCTGTTCAGACTCCATGTGTGAGAATATGCAATGCCTGTAAAAAAAAAAAATGTTTCTTGAACTTGTTTCACATTTTGTCCTATTACAACTACAAAAGTTGATGCACTTTAATAAAATTTTTCTCTCCCAATGGAAGGATGAAATTATCTCAAACTCCCACTTCATTCCCACAAATATTTGATGGAATGTTTTTAGGAAAATTCACCATTTTTACTTTCTATAAAAAGTAAAAATGGAATTGGAAAAGTTTTCCTCAACTTTCCAACTCCTTACATTACCCATACAGTTGAAACCAGATGTTTACATAGTCTGAATAAAGTGATACATACACCATTCTTTTTTAGTTAGAATTACCAAAAGAAATTCTGTTTGCTATGCCACACTAATGAGAAACAATATGTCATACATCATATAACATACCATAAAACTCACTGATGTTTTTGATTGTAACATAAAATACAGAGGCACAAACATTAGTAAGAATCCATATGTGCCAGATCTTATAAAAAAAAGACAAAAATGTTAAAGATGGTTTTGTTTCTCAGTTTTTCAACCAGTGCTTCTAATAGTAGTGGCTTAAAATGAAGCTGAGATTACAAAGACTAATATTATCTCTCACTCACTGCAGCAAGTATCCCCTGCCTCATTATCCACTTCTCTCCTTCCATCATTATCACTCTGAGCACTTTACATATTTTACTCCCTGAGCTCTCTGTTTCTCACCATCAAACCATACTCTTATCAGTTACTTTAATGTTCTCCCTCCTCTCTCTTATCTCTTATCTCTTATTTTTTTCTTCCTCAGGTTTTTCGCCGTGCCTGTGATGGCTCTGATCGCCAACTTTGGGATTCCTCGATGGGCTCGGGAGAAGATTGTGAACGGCATTCAGCTCGGCATTCACCTCTACGCTCATATCGTTTTCCTTGTTCGTACCACACGCACGTGCTCATGCGGAGCCCCACAGCTTTTTAGAGCTAGCGTTATTCAGGAGTCATTATTGCCACAGCCTGTCATACATAATTGACAATCCATGAGTTCTTACTCTAGTTCGGGAACGTCTCCTCCACACATCATTATCCATCTCTTTGTAACCTTAAACGCAGTGTTCTTCACTAATGGGCTGTAACGTTCTGTCAAATATCTCCGGTCCTCACCACACACCTCTCATGTCTCTGTCTTTACCTAGAGCTTATAAGTTATAGACATATTCCCAAAGCTATCTTGAATAAAAGTTGAAGAATTTTTATATTTCTTCATAAATGTATTCTTTTTTAGGTCATAACGAGACCATCAGCAGCCAACAAGAACTTCCCGTATCATGTTCGGACCTCCCAGATTGGGATCTTGCAGTCCAGCCCCAAAGGAGGCGAGGGAGGGGAAAGCTTTCCCCACCATGCCTATGGGAACAGCTCCTTCCTTGGAGATTCTCAACCTAACTTCACTGAACTCTTCTCCATCCAATCAGTAAGTCTAAATGTGATGTGTGTTCCTGTATTCATTTGAGTGGTCGATATGCAGTCCAGAACATCTCATTTGAGAACTAATAAAACAAAAGGAAGAACCAGAAACCATAAAGAGATACATATTACTCCACATGTACTGTCTATATAATATCCACTATAAATTCCCTATTATTTTGCAGCGCTTGCTACATTTAATTAGATAAGGGCTCTAGTGTACTCATTTTCTGATGCTTTTTGTGTGTCAAACGTAGCTTGAAATTAACTGCTGTCTTATTGAACAGAAGTGCCTGAAAATAGAAAGCGATTGGGGCACTAACGCAGTTTGCGAGGGAGCACGTTTTCAAGGATTATTTCTCAGCAAAATACTTATCTCCTCCAGGGGATGACGCATTACATAACAATATGCCTGACACTAAAACTCTTGAGTGGAATTAAATATAAGTGTGAGCAGAAATTCTGGCAAGACTTAATTAAGTTGTTGTGTTTTCTCTGATGAATTGTCTTGCTTCGGTTACTGTCAGCTCTGAAGGTGTTGCTTTTTTACGCTACATAAAGATGAGAGACAGAAAAAGAGCCGTCATTCTCAACTACAGCATTCCTCTTTAATGTAGCAACAAACAGGCTATTTTAAGCCCTGTTTGTATTTTCTTGTTTTAAAAAAATGATTTTTAAAACAATACTAAATTTTGTGGGGAGAAAGAGTAGTTATAAGGATGTCCCGACTTTACCCCGTTTTCTTAAGCTACAACCACCGTTCTGATGTTCTTCTTAATAATGTGTTTGATACGTTACATACTATATTGCTTAATTACCACATTAGTAATGTTACAAAGTCTGAACAGAACAAAATTCTCCATGTGAAAATATTTCTAATTTAAGTTCTAATAAAGTGAAGAAATCTAAATTTCAGTGTTGTAAATTTGGGAATTAATTTGATGTTGAAATCTACAAACTACATCTAAAAGATTTAACTGATGATAGAAGATGTAAAGTCCAACTTTGTAAACAAAGATAATTGTAATTTGGTTTCTACAGTATGTATGTTCCTTTTTAAATAAATAAACTTCAGTGAAACCTATCATTCTTAGAAGTCACATAAGTACTAAATAGGTTCCACCTGTGTGTAATGTAATCTCTATGTACCATATCTAATATTCTGTAAAGATTGATAGAGTACATCAAACAAATATAAATGCAGAGGAACTGAAATGTCAGATTAGAGATAACGTTTTGTGAAGCTTTAAAGCAGGATTTCATTCGGAAGCTAATCCAAACATACAAATTAATTTGACCTAAAATTGTTTGTGGCAAGACTTAAGAATTAGCCTTTGTAAAGACTTTGTAAAAAAGTGAAATCTGTTGATCCAGATGAAGAATAAATTCCAGTTAATTATGTTTCCAGATTTTTTAATTAGGGTTTGTAATGTTTCAGAGTAAATACCAGCTTATCGTGAGATTCAGTTTCCTGCATGAGGTACTTTTAGTTCATAGATTCAGGGTAATGACGGGCTGATTATCCATATGCAAGTTTCCTGCTGTATATACTGTATAACCAAGTCTTTATTTATCCCATTCAAACATTCTCAAAGGTAAATTAGCATGGTTTTCAATTTGTCAGAAGATCCTAGTGCTGAGAGTGTTGAAAGTCCAGGGTTTCTTTGTTCCGCCTAGCGTATCTTCTTGTATGAATTGTTGTCATTATCATATAAATGATGCCTCAAAACTTTTTGTTTTTTAATCCCAGGATCCGGTGAAGACCGTGGAAGAGACAGTTGCTCGTAAAGGACCTGATGTGCCGAGGAACAGCGAACAAAAGATTATTACCACTGCTGCAGACTTAACCATGATATTGCCCCCACCTCCACCTCCGATACCCCCACGCCCCGCCTCCCGCTCTCCCCAATGCCCCCTCGACTTCCATCCTTCACAGAGTACTTCAGCATGCAGAGCGGCGGTGGAGGAGGCTTTGGGACGAAGGCATGAAGTGGATGATAAGGCGGGAAAGACTGCAGCAGAAAGATGAAGGCTGCAGACAGAATTTACAAAGCTGGTGGGAGAGAAAAAGGTCATCCTAAATAACAGAAGAATTATACATGAAGGGACATACATGAGAAGTCATCACAAAAGTAAATCCCTAAATGGTCCTTTTAACTTGGAAATGGAAATGACCTGTATGGAGAAGCTAGGGGGGATGGCTAAGACGCAAATGCTGAGGTTGTAAAAGAATAAAGAAGCAATAAATATTTGATGCTGACCAGTTGAAGGCACACGGGAGAGAGATGACAAAGTGGATGTAGCCAGAGCAATAGAATGATAGCTGTGCACAATGTGGAAATGAACAAAATTCTTGAAATACTTTTATTCAAAAATTCATGAGGACTTGATGGTGTGCCTGAAGGAGTTTGTAAATAGCGAAAACTGTTGAGAGCAACAATTATGAATAGTTTTTATTTCAAAATACGAAATGAATTCATGGTTTCTTTCCCCTAAACATGACATTCCAGTTGGTGCTTCGACCACAGAGAAATCCCATGCCTTTATGTTTAAAATACATTAGAAGAAGAAAAAAAACTTTTTTATGTTTAAGACATTTTTGATAAAACTTAGATATATTTATGGTATATGGAGTATGTTGTGTTTATTTATATTCTTACTGTATAAGTCCTCATTGGAGCTGGTTTTTCTGGATCAATATACTGATGTGTAACTGTAAAAACCCCAAAGTACAGTACTCGTAAAACATGCATGTTTGTGTTGTATTTTCTGTCCGAAAGCAGATATATGTGCTCCATGTGACCATAGAATATTCGCTTATTGTGTGTGTTGAAATCCACACTTCTGCAAATACATACAATAGGCTGCAATATGTTTTTTTTTTGTTTTTTTACTGCAAAACCTTTGTTAATTACTATTCAAATCAAAGCTGTCTTGCAGTATTTTTAACTAATAAGTAGAAGTAGGCATGGGCTGGTAGGATATTCTGAATTCTGGTAACTTTAAGATAAAAACCACAGTTTCACAACATACTTTGAAATGTTTAAACTTAATATTTAAAATTAGAGAGCCCACAATCTATTCATGGGTCATTTCTGATTTTGTAAACATCCGACATGCTGTAAATAACTTTTAGCATATTCCAAATTTTCTGAATAATTGCAACAGTTTAAAAATTTACTTGTTTTTACAACTATGTACAATGAGGAGGTAATGTCACTATGTGCTTGTATGTGTGTGTATGAAAGAGAATGTGCTGTAAAAATTGGTTTCTCTGTTATTTTAACACTAAAACATAATTATCTGAGATATTTTGAGAGATCTTTGACCACCTTTATTAATATTTAGCACTGTTAGGATTAGTAACCATTAATAACTAGAAACACTGATTGGACTCTCCAGTTTGTATCTTTGCAGTTTCACACTCCAATGTATATCCATCTACCTAACAATTGCATCTTTTTGCTTTAGGTTGTTAAATAACTTTGTAGCTTTGATCATTTGTGGAGATCAATGGTTACAGAAAGATGTGAAAGACCAGTTCTTAAACTTCCTTACCAAAGAGTGTTGTTACACCACTGGTCAGCAAAAAGATCTTTTTTTTTCTCAGTTCCGACAGGAATAATCTGAGCCGGTTGAACTGAAAATCATCCGTGTCTGCTAGTCAGCAAACTTGTCTGTTCATGTCTTTTTAAAACATTTTCTAATTGCTTTCATATTTTAAAGAGATATCTAAAACTTCTGCTAGAAATGGATGCTAGAAAACCTAATACACTCCTTCTGACAGCTCTGAAAGCATATGTCTTTTAAAATGATCTATGGACAGAAAGAGGGTGAATAGTTTATCAACAACATTGACAATGTGACAATATTATTTATAAGTGACCATGTAACCTTGTTAAAATCTTGAACAAATTGACATAAGTCAGTTACAGTATAAAGTAAAGCTCTATTGTTCAGCATATCCTTTCATTGGTTTGTCAATCAGAGCACCCTAAAGATACATAATAGTTTTGATGACAGTGCTGTCCATAATAATAATAAAGCCGAATACCTGCCCATGCCTCGTAAAATATCATTTATACTGGGCTGTTTTTGGTTAGTTTCACTGGAGTGCAGAATATTCCTGATTTTAACTGTTATGTCTGTGTTTGTGGATGTTAGTGAATATACTGATTCAATACAGCACAAGGACGGGGTGACGCTGAAGTTAGTCACAAGTCATGATTTCAACTTTATTTGGTTAATTCTTCTTGGACAGACTTCAATCAAAATGGGAATTCTGTGATTTTAAAAACAGTGACGCCTTTGCATGTTTTGGTAATTGGATTTTCAAAAAATGAACAAAAAAAAATCAGGAATGACTAACATTGAATGATTTGATTTTAATATTAAGAGCATATTAAATTGAAATGTAAGCCGTTTTTTGTCTTGCGTAGTGAAAAGAAGTTGAGCAGAAATGTAACTTTAATTTTATATGATTTATATTTAAATCCTAAGATATTTGCAATTGACCAGTTTACTTTGCATTCCTATTTAACCAACCAACACTACAATGGTTGCATGTCGTGATACTTGGAGGCTCTGGTCCTTCTGTCCACTTCAAACATCTTATGTATATATTTTTATTATTTGGACAAGAATACATCAAATCTTCTTTAATTTGTGACATAAAATCTTGTTTTTCTTTGCTGATTATTTAAATTATTTTAACGTAAAGGATGACATTTAAATGCCTGCTCCTCTGGTTTCAACTACAAAACAATAGAAGGTTGCATTTCACTTTTATATGTTTTATTTTAAAACTAAAATCAAATAACCTCCTTTTTTTGTTGCTGTTTTCAATTCTTGGTTTCAACAAGCAGGAACCCAACAGGCTGTTTCTGTCTTCAGTGTTTTAAAGAAGGAACTTTATTCTCACCCGTCTTGTATCAGAACCATAAATCATTACATTTGTTGGCTTTTTACACCTTAATGTTTAAGCTGTGCAAAAAGCTGAACAAATATTCATAAAATTTTTATCCCCTTATATTGGGAAAAAAAGTCTTGTAGAAGAAGCTGTGAAAGCAGCAACATAACTGTACATTTTGTCTGTCCTGCATGGAGCACTTTAATGTTCCTGGTCTTGGTCTGTTTATTTGTGCGGATCCATCTTATAGGACTGCTTTAAAAACCTGTATTCACGCTTCATGGAGATTATTCCTACTTGTAAATATGGACTGAAATGGTTTTTTAGACATTTTGGGGAATGATTCGTGCTTTGTTCGAAAAATCCGGTGGTTTTATCTTGAATTAGAGAAACTGTTGTGCTCAGCTTCGAGCCGTGAGATTAATCTGTGGGAAATTTGTTGTCATGGAGTACCGATGTTAGGACTGTGGTGTAACCTGTAGGAGTGTTTCCAGAAGTGTAACTTTGTGAAACTGACAGATACTTGAATACTAATTGTTGCTTCTGAATATGTCTGGTTTGTATTTGGCACGTCTGCCACTTTGTCTGCTGTTGCCATGACTTGACTGAACGGACACAGAGAGACGGGGGGAGGCGCACTGATATCGGAACGTTGCTTAAGCTTCGTCGATGCTCACGTTTGATTTGTCATAAAGTGTTGTGGAGAAAGAACTTGAAGAAAAGATTTATGTGTGCATGACGGAGAACAGCACAGCTTACAGAGCGATCTGGTTAAGAGCACATCACAAAAGCACCATTCAGATGCATTTTAATGGTGTCAAATAATATTAATTATAAAGATGCTGTACATATATCCTTTTTCTCAAAATAACTAATTAAAATATGGTTTTATTTAAAGCATTGTCTGGCTGTTTTATTTGCTTGCTGTGTTGATTTGGGAGCTTGTGGCGTTCCAGTGAGGAACCAGGGCACCAGTCCAAACACTTGATCTGATATTTGTTTATCGTGTTTGGGATTTGTTCTCATTACGAGGGTCTATTAAAGTAAAACGCCCTAAGGACGGTTTTCAGCCTCGTCCTGATCTGAAGCGCGCAGACCTAAATGTTTTGCAGTCGTTACCGATATGTTGATCTGTCTAATTGAACTATCCAAAGCTATTACTGAGCTTTCAGTGAATGTCCTGCGATTAGATCTTTATTTTCTTTCTGTTGTGATTCAGTCTAAATTTATATTTGAAAGACTTCCTTTAACCTGTTTTTTTTTTTCCATTTTAGGGAAAGTTTTTGTCATCATTTTGAACTAAATACACCTTTTTGTCTCCAGACTCTAAGCGCTAATTGAAGTGGAGATAATTAATGTTGCCTCCTAATAAATTACAGTCTCTTTGAAAGATGAAGGTATTTCTCATATAAATACAATGTAGAATCATTACACAGTGCGATGTTTTTTTGTTTTTTTTTTGATTGTCAAGGATTTTAATTTACAGCTAATTAAGAACCAAAATGAGAATTTTTAAATTAAGGATGTTCAAACTGTGGTTCTGGTGCTGTTTGTGGTCTTGTTTGCAGAATCATCTTGAATCAGCCACATTGAAGGCTTTTCAAGTGTGACAGGCCTGATTAAGGTCAGGCCCCAAAATCACAATCAGATTTAAGACCAGACTTTGACTAGGCCAGTCAAAACTCCTTATTTTTCATTTATTCAGAGGTGGACTTCATTCTATTCTTCACCAACCAACACACTTCAACCACCATGTTTGTGTAGTTTGTTGATCCTTTGCTAAAATTATTTTTGGTTTTATGTCAGATAATAATGTGATTTACATCAGTGAATAGAATATTTTCTGAAAGGTCTTGTGATCTGTCACAATGTTTTTTTTATATTGACCTGATATGGTCCTTTGTTTATTTTTTAACTCTTCCATCGATAGAATTTGTGCTAAACCTTTTTGTCCTTCTTCAATCAGGAATACTAACCTCAACTGAGGTAAATGAGACCTGCAGATCTGAAATACAACAAAAAAAATAGCATGCACAGGAACTGCAGGAACCGAACAGTACTGCAGATTCACTGATACAAAATTATTTTTGACATTCACTTACAGCAGGAATTAAGATTTCAGGAGCGACTAAAAAAATAATGTCAGGTGAAACAAGAAAAGGCTAGACGTGTCTTAATGCATAAACTTCAAGCTTTTAAGACTGAAAGAACATTTTTTGCATCACTCAACTTTTAACTATTTTTGTAACTTTATTTTACTCATAGGGAAACACATATTTGAATTCTGTGTGATGGTTTTGTGGTTTCACTCATGATCAACCTTTATGAAGGGAGCAGAATTTGTTGTCCACAGCCCAAATTCCCTGTTTTACAACTCATTATCAGAATCCTCTGTTTAACTGTTCAAAGCTCATCAGATTATTTTGTGCATAATTGTTTTAAAGAGGTTCAGACACATTTTATTGGAAATCAATAACCTTTTCATGCAACAGTTAGCAGCAGGCGATTTCATTGATTTTTTTTTTTGCCTCAAATTTAACAGATGCCTATGCAACAGCAGTTTTCATCTTCTTTAGAAGATCCATGACCAGAACCTGCATTAATTTAAACTCAAACAGTGAAGACATAAGACAAACCTGGAACTTTAGTTTGGAAAATTAAACTTTATTATCACAATCAGAATTATTATTTTACAGATCAGTTCTTGTTTTCAGATCACATTGGAGTTTTAAAACTGGACATGTGAAGATGTAATGAGGCTCTTTCTACAACCTGAGAAAACAAAAACATGGAAGTATTTAGGCTTCAGTAGCCAACAGTTTTGCCCTCGCCCTTTCCTCTCTGTAGCCTTTGAGGAGCTGGTTGATGAGAGTCAGTTCATTTTCCTTCTTCACAGGATAAAGAGGTGGAAACGGGTTGCCTTTGTACTCCAACACAGCCATCTGGGCTCTGTCCAGGTTCTCTCTGTTGGGGATCCGAGCCATCCGCGTGTAGCCAGTTGAATGGTTTTCAAAACGCGGAGCGAGGACTTTAAAGAGCTTCGGGACGAGATCCTTTTCCTGGAGAGAGGGAGCAGGAGGTAAACTTCAAACAAACTCCTCTCCATTACTCAGCTTTTACCTTCACAAGGATGAAGAGAGCTGCAAACACGCACCGTGAGCCAAAAACTGGCCATTTTCATCGCCTTCTCATCTGTGTCTCCTTTCTTGGCATAGTCGATCAGCTGGGAAGATGAAACAAAAAATATCCACAGACTTAATGTGTAAAAGAATTCAGATCGTGCTGCGTGATTACATTTGCAAACAGGTAGCAGAGTTTCTACGTAAGGTTCAACCAGACTTCAGGAGAATCTGCAGGATTACGAGAAAGCTTTACTAAAGCCCAAAGCTAGGCTTAAACATACGGAGCAAACCTGGTACAGACGAGGCTTAGCTGAGCTGCAGATGAGGGACAGATTTTATAATTTGACTTTTAATAAGTGCAGATATTTAACAAATTTCCTGGTAGAAAATATAAATGAGCAACTTCAGAGCTGTGTGATCTTTGAAGAAGATCCCAATAGATGCAATATTTGAATAGAAGTATGAAAAATGAAACAAAGCATTATATTTTTAGACACTTAAATATATACAATGTTGCTGTATTGTCTAAAGAGATATTGTTTTCTCAGCAGAAAACAATATAATATATATTATAAAACAACTAGGTAATAAAAAGCAATTTTACTAAAAATTAGACACAGGGGAGCGTTAACCTTTCGTTTGGCTGATCACACGTTTCATTTTAGCAATGAAAATAGCTGATAGTTGTCGGATTCAGAGCTGTGTGATCTGTTTATTGATGACATGAGGATTATTAGAAAAATCTGTGGAGAAGGACATTAGCAGCCTCAGCAGCAGTAAAGAGGATACATGTTCAAACACCCTCAGGGCAAAAAAAGGAGTTTGGAGTTTAGGCCTGTGCAGGAGCTCCACCTTCTGGGTCTGCTTTAAGCTCGGTGGTGAGAAATGTTGGCGAGATTTCACTAAGTCTAGCAGAAACAGAAAGGCAGAAGTCTTCTTGCATCTGTTTGCATCTGCAGAGTGTCTAAAGCTCTTTAAATATTTCTACTATATGTTGTTTCTTCATGGGAAAAACAATATAAATGCATTCAGCAGCACAATCTGACAAAATAAGACAATGTTATTCCTATACAGATGAAACCAAATAAAATGTAACCTTTGGTCCTGTCTGTCTCACATTAAATCAAATGAACATTTCCCATTCTATGTCAGTTAAGAGTTTAATGAAATTATGTCTATTTGTTAAATGCCAGAATCTGGTATAATTGCTTTCTACACTGTAGGACTTGGGTCAGGCATTTTTGGTTATTCTTCCCTCCCACAAAGCATGAAAATGTAATTATTTCAAAATACCATTAAGCGGATTGAAATGAACAAGAATATGAAACTTTTAGTTCAATTTATTGTCAGTAAGAAGCAGATTTGAGTCTCATTTAAGGTTTCAGTTAATAGATAATCTGCATCTTTAATTAACTGGAAAAGTAAAAATAAAGGCGTACATGAAAACTAACAAATAAAAATGTTTCCGTCTTTTTAAGCAACAGCGTCTTTTAAAATGTGGAATTTGGGAACATTCAAGCTTGTAAGAGATAATTTGCTTGAGCTCCAGAGAAACGGGTCAGAGGAGCCGATGTTTCTGTCCGGCCAGGAGAACCGGGCCTCGCCCTGCCGGACTTCCTCACCTTCTCGGCGTAGAATCGGACTTCATCGGCTCTGACCTTCGTGGTTTCTATCCTCTCGTGTCGGACCAGTCCAGTCAGGATGTTCCGGAGCATGTTGATGCGGGACCGGGCCCAGGCCCATCCTCCTGGCCACCCGGCCGTGGGAGATTAGCATCCGCAGCGTGAGGCGCATCGCGTCGCGTGGGTTCCACCACACAAAGAACCTCCACGTTAAACACAAATGATCTATAAAAAATAACAATACACCACGTACCCAATAGAGCTGCGTCAGTCTGACTTTTACAAAAAAAGAGGTGATATTAAGTAAAAACAAACATCTCAGTCGCTCTATGGTGACTTTACTGTCTTTGACATTGTGCGTCGGCGAGAATGTCCGACCTGCTCACGAAACAAGGAAAACACAGTTCCGCTTAATCATACGTAATAAACATGATAACCAACGCTTACTTTTCAAATGAATGAATGAATTAACGAATAAATAAATAAATAATAAATAAACAAATAAATAAATAAATAAACAAATAAATAAACAAATAAAAGTAGAAAAAGAATGCATATAAAAGTAGAAAAAGAATGCATATGCATGTCCACTCATATGTGTGGACAGTTTATTTTTTCCTAAGTACTGTTGCACAGCAAGATGGTACGATTCCCGGCCTCGGGTCTTTCTGCATGGAGTTTGCATGTTCTCCCTGTGCATGCATGGATTATCTTCGGGTACTCCGGCTTCCTCTCACAGTCCAAAAACATGACTGTTAGGTAAATTGGTCTCTCCAAATTCTCCCTAGGTGTGAGTGTGTGTGTGTGTGTGCATGGTTGTTTGTCCTGTCTGTCTCTGTGATTCCCTACGACAGGCTGGCGCCCTGTCCAGGGTGAACCCTGCCTCTCGCCTGGAACGCAGCTGGAGATAGGCACTAGTCCCCCTCCCAATTCCACTAGGGACAAGAGTGTACAGAAAATGGATGAGTGGCTTATTTTCCCTACATCTATTGAATACATTGTGTAACTAAATTACAGAATTATTTAGTAAAATATAATATTGCAGTTAACAGCATAGTAAGAATTTACCACACATATCCATGCTTGATGAAAACAAATAAAAAACAAAACAAAAACCAGTTGCTTATTTTCAGTCTCAGCATGAACACTGGGGTGAATTTTCTCCATGCATCCTGAACTCCTAAGAAACAGCTCCCTGCTGATCTGCATTACACAACTGCTTATTTCCCAGGTAGGGGTTCTGGAGAACAAAGATGTTCAGTGTAAGTGATTAGGATACATTTCAAATAAATAGCATATTTAAATTTCAAAGGCAGACTCTAAGCCCTGACAGGACTTCTTGCTTCATTCGACATTCAGCAGGGAAGCATAACATCAACAGTTTTCTCAGTTGATATATTTCCAATAATATTATGGAGATGGAATTCACATCAGGTGCCTGTGACAATCCTACCTCCTCCCCTCCCTCGACTCCAATGATAACACAGAAGCAAACAAACATATGTCTATTGTAGAAGTTTTACTTTTTCCACTAAAAGTAAGTTTTGTGGTGTAGTACTGTTCTAAAAAGCTTTTCTTAGTACATCCTAGGCAAAAAGCCCCTGATGCATCTTTTCATTCATTCAATCTTCAATAATTTGGAATGTGCTAGAGCTACACATTAAAAAAGCCCCCACCGCAATGGTCCATCCTCCAAAGTCTGTCAAATCAGTCTATCAGACAGTGCTATTACCCTGATCCCATAGCTCAATACAGGTGTAAAAGATGACATCTGTTATGTTAAGAGTATCTCAAAGCTGTGCATAAAATGTGGGAAGAACATGTAGAAAAAGAAAAGCACAAGATGACACAAAGTCAAAAGATATTAGGTTCTATGATTTATTTATTGGTGTCAAAGTATCTGCATGATGTTCAGGATGATGGTAGACAAACGGCAGCATTAGATGGCTATAGAAGGATCCAGTTTATAGCTGGCCATGGTGTTCTGCAGCCAATCATTGAAGAGGCAGACCTGTGAAAAAAGACAGTAAACAGATTAGGACAAGGACGATGTATTTGAAAAAAGAAACCAAACGAATTGTATGTTTCTGTATAATTTGAAATACAAAGACAATTTTGTTTTACCTTGGCGTAGACACCAGGGTGGTCTCTCTCAGCACATCCATAGCCCCAGGAAACAACTCCCTGCAGCTGACCATTGCACACAACAGGGCCACCAGAATCACCCTGAAAACAAAACAGATGAAAATGATTGAAACTTATGAATAGTAAATTAAAATTTCTAAGTTAGAAATTGCTGGAAAGATATTTCCAAGATTAATGGAACAGCAGCTGAAGTGTCCTGTTCAAATCTCAGAATATGGATCTAAATTGCTCCTTACCTGGCAGGAGTCCTTGCCTCCCTCCAGGTATCCGGCACAGAACATGGCATCGGTGATCATTCCAGGGTAGGAGTTGTTACAATCCCTGTCAGACAGGATGGGGATCTCCAGACACTGCAGCTTGTTCTTGTCAGCAGCTGAGTTGTGTGAAGCAAAACATCAGATTAGTCTCTAATATAAGCCGGAGAAATCAGATTTGAAGCACTCTTTAAGTCTGAGAATCAGCATGTAGGTGTTACTCACTGGAGCTCATGGTGTTGCCCCAGCCAGAAACTTTGCACATGGTACCAGCAGGAGCACAGCTACTGGGCAGAGACACAGGCTGCACGTACTGGTTGAGGGTGGCGGCCCTGCTGAGCTTGATCAGCATGATGTCATTGTCAATGGTGTAGCTATCGTAACCGGGGTGACGGATGACAGAAGCGGAGCTGATGAACTGCTCGGTTCCCTCAGTGATGCCGATGTGGTGCTCTCCCAGACGCACTTCAACACGGCTGCAAAGAGTTAAACAGAGAGTGAGAACAAACACACACAAGATGGCTAATCCAATCTGACCTTCTGTCATAAGAGGAGGGACGTTGAGCACTTACGACTTGTAGCAGTGAGCAGCAGACACAACCCAGAACTCGTTGACCAGGGAGCCACCGCAGAAGTGGTAGCCGGAGTTCAGAGACACCTGATGAGGCTGAGAGTAGGGTGTGCACTCATACCCTCCGACGATCTTGTCGTCCTCCAAGGCAACTAAAGACACAAACAAATAAAATCCAGTGTTAAACTAGTATGTTGGATAACATAGTTTATCCAATGCTGATAAAAAGACAAACTTACAAGCAGCTCCAATGAGCAGAACAAACACCAGAGACCTCATGGTTGCTGAGTGATCTTGTTGATGAGAGAACTTTGTCTGGAGTCCTGGTTTATATAGGAAGGTGGTTTGAGCTTTTCTTATGAGGAAACCTCCCTCTGTTATCTGTGGCCAACCAGCTTCCAGAACAAACCACTGAATGTTGGAAAAACAAACATTTTTTTTAAAGAACCTTCAGATATGCAGCTGGAGATGGAGATCAATACATGATTTAAAGATAATCATAAAGATGGAGAGGATTCTTTAAAACATTCCTCAGATTTACATTTGTTTTTTATAAGATGTGCGACTATTTAGGAGTTTTTTCTTCGTGCAGACTTCTGGTCATCATAAAAAATCAACCTGGGGAACAGTTGTACATTTAATGAAATGTTAATAAAAAATACATTTCAGACCCAGTTTTACAACATTATATTATGAACAAGTATTTTTATCTATTTATTTATTTAATTTTTATTTCACTCATTCTTATGCCATGTTAATTCTGGTAACACTACTGATAATGATTGACAGCATTGCCTTGAGCATTATTGGTATCATGTGAATTTACCATCTGTGTCAATCAGATTGGGTTAAATATTGTTAAAAGTCCAGCAAAATGTTCTGAAGGAGACATTCATATCAGGCTGCTGATAGTGACTATTAATATGACTTTTTCCCCTTTGACGGCAAGAATTGGAACAATTGGGTCTTTTGAGACAGAAGAGTGCAATACTACTGCAAAAGGAAGATGATGTTAAGTTCTGGAGGGAGGATGCTTCAGTGGTTCTATACTGATCTTGGTGGAGTCTAATAGTTATTAACAAATAATTCCTGTTTGGTTACCACATTTAAAACCATGGAGTTTGGACTGCTGGAATGAAATTTGTGTTAACCGTTTTGCAAAAGAGTAAGAAAAATATGTCTAACCAATGACACCAATGTCCATTTATTAACACGTTTACAAGAGTTTTTTTCTGCTATACTGAAATAGTGATGATGAAAACTGAGTGATCCCAATTCATTTTAGCAGGTCAAAGCAGTAAAGAAAAAACATAACCTGCCAAAGTGTGTCACTTGTTTAGAATGGACAGTTCATTCCTCAAAAACATGTGTTCATATCAAAGTGTCAGTGGCGTCTAAATAAAAAGCCTTTACACCATATTTGTCTCTAAGATTGTCAAGTAGTTCCAACAGTTCACCACATAGATCTTTGTGACAGTACCTGAACATATGATACACCAATTTCACAGCAACTTAAGTCTACAGTAAGTGAGGTAAGGTAATGTAAGACACTGAACACAATGCTTTGTATTTTTACTGTATATTTTCTTTGAGTACAAACTTATTTTTTTGGGTAAAACTGTTGAAAACAACTTTAAACAACAGCACCAGAGAAAACAAGTGAAAGCTGCAGTTTACATGAGAAAAATTATTCAATCTGGCAGACATTATATTTGACACAATTAGTAGGAAATGCATAAAAAAAATTCAGATTTTCAGAATTAATCCAACGGTTTTATATCCCAGTTGGTAAAAAAGATTTACATCTGAAGGGATTGAAATGAATTACAGAATTTGTAATTATCCTCCTAACTTGCATGTGGTGACAGGAGTAAAAAAACTCCCTTAATATGGAAAAAAAAAACACTAACAAAACTTAGCTCACTGTGAGCAGCTATCTGCCACTAACTACTGGAGACAAAGTAGATGGTGGTCAGAGGAGCCGGTGGTGCAGGTGCATAATAGTCTCTCCTCTGTCAGAATGCCCCAGAGCAGCAGTGGCTACCATTCAGTGGGGCGCCACTTTCAGTGTGTAAATGGGTGAACCACTGAATGCAGTGTGAACTGCTTTGGGATCCTCTGGACTTAATAAAACGCTAAACAAGTACAAGCCATTTACCCGTTTTGCCATAAATAAAGAAAAACCCACAATGACTTTCTGTGATAAAGAAGTAAAGAGGCAATACATCCATAAGTAGCTTCATTTTGGTGTGAAATTCAGCTGAATATATGAGCACTAAGGCAGGAATAAAATTCATTACCCCCCAAAAAAGAGTATGTTTAAAAAGTGATAGTAATAACTCTTTCAATTGTTTTGTCTAGGAAGGACACTGGGTTAAATACAGAAAGGCACAGTCAAGTTTATTATCTATAAAAAGAAAACATAAAGCTATTGACAGCAATCACTTTTCTGATGTCCATCGTTACATTTAAGCAAAAATACTGGGCCAAATAGAATAAAACTCAGCAAAAACCCAAACGTAAATCCAGAATAGTTTGCCGATGGCAGACAAGACGTAAGTGGATATTGGTAGAAGAATAAATAAAACAGAGAAAGAAATGACTATCAGTATATCCTCCAACAACAGAAGCTTATATCATCATAAGAACAGAGAAAGCTCAGACTATCCCAAGTCTTTAACAATAAGCAATACAAAAAAATATATACAAGCTCCATCTCACAGGCAAGGCGTCTGCCTCACAGACAAAAAAGGAGCTGATTGCATAGAGAAATCTACCTTCCACTCTCCTTTTAGAAACACTAAGAGCCATAAATAAAATAAATATATGAACACTGAACAAATCAGTCTATCAGTCAGTGCTATCACCCTGATCCCATAGCTCAATACAGCTGACTTTTTTTTTTTTTTTGGTTACCATTTAATAAAGTTATTTTACAGTAATTCTTGATTTCTCATGAATATAATTAGAAATGTACTGATTTTTAAGATGATTTTTTCTGTGGAACCATAGAGGTTTCTTGCAGAACCAGTGGAAAATTTTCAGCATTATAACATCTGTTATGTTAAGATATCTCAAAGCTGTGCATAAAATGTGGGAAGAACATGTAGAAAAAGAAAAGCACAAGATGACACAAAGTCAAAGATATTAGGTTCTATGATTTATTTATTGGTGTCAAAGTATCTGCATGATGTTCAGGATGATGGTAGACAAACGGCAGCATTAGATGGCTATAGAAGGATCCAGTTTAGTAGCTGGCCATGGTGTTCTGCAGCCAATCATTGAAGAGGCAGACCTGTGAAAAAAGACAGTAAAACAGATTAGGACAATGTATTTTGAAAAAAGAAACCAAACGAATTGTATGTTTCTGTATAATTTGAAATACAAAGACAATTTTGTTTTACCTTGGCATAGACACCAGGGTGGTCTCTCTCAGCACATCCATAGCCCCAGGAAACAACTCCCTGCAGCTGACCATTGCACACAACAGGGCCACCAGAATCACCCTGACAACAAAACAGATGAAAATGATTGAACTTATGAATAGTAAATTAAAATTTCTAAGTTAGAAATTGCTGGAAAGATATTTCCAAGATTAATGGAACAGCAGCTGAAGTGTCCTGTTCAAATCTCAGAATATGGATCTAAATTGCTCCGTACCTGGCAGGAGTCCTTGCCTCCCTCCAGGTATCCGGCACAGAACATGGCATCGGTGATCATTCCAGGGTAGGAGTTGTTACAATCCCTGTCAGACAGGATGGGGATCTCCAGACACTGCAGCTTGTTCTTGTCAGCAGCTGAGTTGTGTGAAGCAAAACATCAGATTAGTCTCTAATATAAGCCGGAGGAAATCAGATTTGAAGCACTCTTTAAGTCTGAGAATCAGCATGTAGGTGTTACTCACTGGAGCTCATGGTGTTGCCCCAGCCAGAAACTTTGCACATGGTACCAGCAGGAGCACAGCTACTGGGCAGAGACACAGGCTGCACGTACTGGTTGAGGGTGGCGGCCCTGCTGAGCTTGATCAGCATGATGTCATTGTCAATGGTGTAGCTATCGTAACCGGGGTGACGGATGACAGAAGCGGAGCTGATGAACTGCTCGGTTCCCTCAGTGATGCTGATGTGGTGCTCTCCCAGACGCACTTCAACACGGCTGCAAAGAGTTTAACAGAGAGTGAGAACAAACACACACAAGATGGCTAATCCAATCTGACCTTCTGTCATAAGACCGGAGGGACGTTGAGCACTTACGACTTGTAGCAGTGAGCAGCAGACACAACCCAGAACTCGTTGACCAGGGAGCCACCGCAGAAGTGGTAGCCGGAGTTCAGAGACACCTGATGAGGCTGAGAGTAGGGTGTGCACTCATACCCTCCGACGATCTTGTCGTCCTCCAAGGCAACTAAAGACACAAACAAATAAAATCCAGTGTTAAACTAGTATGTTGGATAACATAGTTTATCCAATGCTGATAAAAAGACAAACTTACAAGCAGCTCCAATGAGCAGAAAAACACCAGAGACCTCATGGTTGCTGAGTGATCTTGTTGATGAGAGAACTTTGTCTGGAGTCCTGGTTTATATAGGAAGGTGGTTTCAGCCTTTCTTATGAGGAAACCTCCCTCTGTTATCTGTGGCCAACCAGCTTCCAGAACAAAACCACTAAATGTTGGAAAAACAAACTTTTTTTTTGTGTTGAAGGTTGGCCTTCAGATATCCAGTTGAAAATGAAAATATATTCTCTGTATTGTTTAAATTATTTGAAAGCAGATTAACACAGATTCACTTTAACCATGACACTGTGTTGGAGATACATTTATTTGGAAATCTTTGGAAAAGTACAACTTATGTAGCATGACACTCTCAGTATCACAAATCTGTTACTTCTTTGCAGCAATTTTGACTAAGTAACATATCGTCACAAATGATTATTGATTAATAAATTTTATATTTGATATATGATGTATATTAAAAAAATATACATCATAGGGATTAATTACATAAATTTGACTTAATTTTAACATAGCTTCAGCATATCACTCTTTCTCAGTAATTTCTCAATATTCGCTGCTGATATTTTAATGTTTAATATTATTCTACACTGTTGGGCTAAAAACAGGCCGTCTCATTAATTGATTAATATCAGTAATATCAGTCAAAGTGTAATGAAGTGAAGTATTGAAAAAACTAATGGTGGAAATCTACAAATGTTTGACACACAGATTTGGGAAAATGCACACATTTTTTCCCACAGTCATGTATTTCTTACCATTGAGCTGATAAGTCTGATGAATTAGCCAATATTGTGCCAAAAATTCT